CACATCGACGTTCTCACACTAAACTCGCCCTCGCCGTTCCGACCGTACTCCGACCAACTGCAACGGGAAGACGGTAGTTACACAATATTACATATCAACGTCATACACTAGTACGTTAAGGACTGTCTATGATGATATCGGCTAGCGTCACACGTGGAAGAGAAGGCTGTATATGGACGGGAGAAGAGGTGCCCGGGAGTATCAAGGTACAGGAGTTTTGATGTTGAGCGGAAAGTCCGACATGGCGTACATGCTCCGCATACACAAGAGACAGACCAGCCATGCAAGAACAATCACAATAACACGTAGCTCTCGGGGGTCAACAGGCCGGTAATACGAAGTCTTGAGGCCAATTGCCCATGATACCGACAGGGTCGAAGTCGAGATTGACGTCTTAGCCTGCGACGTTATATCAAGAAGCCGACCAAGAGTCGGTATCAGTCGCATGATCCACCCATACACAGTCTTCTCTGCGCCGTTCACTAGGAGAGATGATAGGCGGGAGCCGCGGTGGTCATGTAGGGCGTAGAGTAAATCTGGTGAAATATCAGGACGCGTGTCACGGGAGACAGGGATGAGCATTCCTTACAGAGTACATCTAATAGCCCGCTATCATACTCCACACGAGGGTCCTCGAACCCTGGTTGTGCCTCAGGCTGTTCGGGTGCATCGTGGGATTGATGCTCCTCGTGGGATGTCCCAGTTTCTCCTTGATCGCCTAGTGTCGCGATTACTCGTGCAACGGATCGGAGAAACCACAAAGCGCTAGGTAACACACCCTTCGTAGATCTTGCCCAGAAATCCGACGCACGCTCGCCGGGAGGAGATGCCGCATAGCCGTCGCCAACTGCCGCGACAGCGAGTTCGAGTTCTTGAACGCGCTTGAAGATGACCACAACGTCAGCTACATGTTTCTCTAGGTCTTGTGACAACCGCTCTAGATGATGAATAGCCAAGATTAGGTCATAGTTTAGTCCTCAATGAAGAGATGACGCGCCATATACGGCCTGAAACTCTTGTTGAGTCTTCGAGATGTTGTCAACGTCCGTCTGGAGGGTTTTGAGCGCACTGCCTTGCATGACAATCCCTGTACACTGTCTTAAGCATGGACGCGAGCGGAAGCGAGGCACATACGATGCGAGTTTAAGTGTGCAACATTGCTTGCAGTAGTTTGTCCCGTTTCTGATGTCGCGCCCGCTGGTGTATGGACACCCATGGCACCTATCAATGACATGACAGTGATAATGCGCCCAACAGATAACATGGGATATCAAGTACCTGGTGGAGTCTCGCTAGGACGAGCGACTACGTCGTCAAGCTTCGCATACAACGCAGCTACTTTGGCTTCAAGTCCCATCAACGTATACTCGTGCCCTTCATCTATGCTGCTTATTTCCGCTCTGACGTCGCTCACTCGGTCTTCTACAAATTTCCGGACGTCTTTGAAGCGAGCGGAGAATAGTTTCGCTTGTTGACCAGTCTCCTGATCGGTGTAGTTTCGCAGGGTTTTCTCAGAGTGGTCAAGCTTAGAGTCAAAGTCGTGAGATAGCTGTTGAACTGGCGGTCTCGTGAGCAATACTTCGAGTCCTGTCGGGAACAGCGCTCACCTTGGGCAAGGAGTTTCCCGGTATCAAGCGTGGGTGTCGTCGAGGTTTCTTCGCCTGTGTCGTCTGAGTCGGTGAGGATGAAAGGCATGACTAGGTCCTGCTCGGCCGTCGCATGTAACTTCGGGTCTGAAGGCGAAGGGGGCGGCGTCCTGGGAACGATGCTGGGGGGGAGCGATAAGGTGTGTGGCGGTATAATGCAGGTTTCGTCGGGTTGGCCATCAGGGATTGTGACATGCGTAGCCAAAGCCCCATTCCGTGCGTTTACGAATGGGAATGGTCCAAGTCTCTGCGTCGAGGACGAGGATGATCGAGGACGGGTCTGGAGTATATCAGGCATGGTGCGCAACCTCGGTGCGAGACAAGTAGTAGGCACGAGCGGGCCACCCTTTTATACCGTACAGCTCGCGGAAGCAAGTCCGCTCATTCAACGCCTCAGCCGGGGTTTCATGCTGGAAGTTGTCGCGAGTCAAGGAAAAGAGAAAAGGTCTGGAAGACGCAAAGTCGTTGCCGTCGTAAAAGCGCGCTGAAAAGACGTGGACGTGCAAAGAGTCTAGTTGCGAGCCGCATTCCTAACCGCTTGCAGTGGAATGAAATCCAAAGAAGCTTGAATGTTGAACGTTGAGGTTCAGAGTGTAGTTGTAACGTGGTGAGCTTAGGCATCAACGACGCGTCACGCGTCACGTCCCATGGTCAGTCTAAGACCAATGGGTGCTCTCTTGCCCCGTTCTCTCACGAGGCCACTGGTATGCTCGAGCGCTTCGACAAACCATGCGTCCATTATTGGGCAATGCAGACCTCTACTCTACCGCGGCGCGACTTGTCAAGTCTGGCCGTGACAAGGCTCTTCCTTGGAAAGGCGTTATCGGTCGCCCATTCGTCTTTTGTCGGCTTTCCGTCTTTGTCGTCAATCTGGCTTTTGCGTCTTTGCGTCTTTCCCCTAGACTACTCTTCTTCAGCTTCCCGTTACGCGAGAGCATATACATATATGGCGCTACTGGCAGGCGGGCTTAAAGCTCAACCACTTGTGTCCACTACGAAGCTCAAGATTGGTCAAGTGCGTACTATCAACCGTACATCCCGCCAATCGCGGATACTAACGTCATTGATGCAGTGAAACGAGCAAACAGCGAAGAAGGCTCTCGGGATGGTGATGGCGAAGAGGCGTTGGGTGCCGGGCAAGAGGTCTCGTCGTCGCCCAGACTCACGAAAGCTCTTCCGCGACGCGTGGGCACGCTCGTTGACACGCCTGCAGCAGTCAACCCTGCGAAAGACGAGTCTGAAGGCATGGAAGATGCCGACCCTGGCTCGCTCTCTACACTCTCTTCTTTGTCGAGCTCGACCAGCGCCCAGAGCAATCGCAGCGACACTTACGCGTTCGCCAAGTCCATCGTCAAGGGCGATGGTACACGGTCCTTTAGGCCAACCAAAGCCGTCGACGTTCCTGCCGTTCATCAGCACAAGAAATTTCGACTTCGACACCTCGTCACCAGCGAGTCCTCTCTACATATCAAGCTGCGGTCCGGGTATTACGACAAGTAAAGACCATTTATACGCTGCCGGTGTCTGTTGTTAACGTTTACTGGGTGCAGGATCCAGTCTGGGCTAGATGCGAACGCAGAGAACGTCGGCTTTCTCGACGACCCCTCTAAACCCAAGGAACCAGAAGTCGAAGATAGCGCTCTGGTAGCCGAGGATAGCACCTACGTGAGATAGTGTTAGTATCTACGTTCTTCCTTTGGGGACTGACGCTAGGAAACAGCTAAACCCGATCTCTGATGTTGGAGAAGACCACGAAAACGCTGGAGAAAATGAAGAGGACGTCGGAGGGAATGAAGAGATCGTGCAAGAACCTCTTGTTCAGGACTCTCGCATGGATCGTTCTGGTACTCAGAGCCCTTCTCCCAACGTGAGTTACTCCTTATCCTGACTCTATCGTCTCATTCATGCCGACGTTTCGTCAAGATCAACCTCACATCAACTGCCGAGGATCGCGAGCATGTTACTGCAGCGGACCCTGACTTGGAACACCTTAGTCCTGAGATATCTGCTGTGAGCACCATCCGGCATCGACGCTATGCAACTCTCTGACTTGTCACAGCAGACCCCTGCGAGCGGAAGAACCCAGAAGATCAAGGGCTCTAGAGCTACGAAAAACTTAAAGCCACGCCGGACCGCCTCGAGTCGGCAGGAATCCCGCGCCGCCGCAAACGCTCAGCGTGTCGCCTCACTTCGCCATACCAAGGCCCGTGTCGTGGGAAAACGCCAGCAATGGACCATGGACTCATCTCAGGAGATCTCTAGCGCTGGTTCTCGTCGTTCTACACGCCAAAGCATCCCGCATTGGAAGCTACGCGAAGGCGTCACGCGGGACGAGTTGCCCGACGACGTCCGTGACATGGATGTTGAAGTGCACGGTTCAGATCGCGATGACATCATGTACGCCAGTGTCGAATATGACGAAACGATGGACGAGTCCGCATGGGAAACCCAGCTACTCCCGCATCTACCCGTGCATGATACTGAGTATGTGGAGCGGACCGAGGAGCAGTTTGGGAACGATAACCGGGAGATGGATGTCAGCAACGTAGATCAAATCGAGCAAGGCATCGCTGAGGAGCAAGTGGCCTACTCGCAGGAGGAGGGAGACGTTACGCGCGAGACCGAGAAGGACGCTATGGGCGAGTGGGAGAAGCAAGACGCGCGGTTCGATGTTGAGAACGAGCGGATCGACCTTGAGGTGAAGGAACGCGTCGAAGGGATTCCAAATGAGCTTCGGCAGGGTGATGGAAAGGCGCAAGAGAAGGATGGACAGGAGGTACTGGTGCAGGAGCAGGCCGAGAGCGATGCTGAGCGCGCTGAGCGGGAACGCATCGAGAAGGAGCAGACTGACCGCGAGGCAACGGAGCAAGCTGAGCGAGACGCGAGGAATGCTAAACGCAGGGAGAAGGATAGGGCTGCACGAGAGGCGAAGAAGGCGGCTGAGCAAGCTAAACGGGAGGCGAAGAGGGTGGCTGAGCAAGCTAGACGGGATGCGAAGAAGGCGGCTGCGAGGGAGAAGGCTGAACGCGAGGCGGCTGAGCAGGCTGAACAGGACGCGCGGGAGGCGAATGAGCAGGCTGAACAAGATGCGAGGGAGGCGGCCGAGCAAGCTGAACGCGAGGCGGCTGAGCAGGACGAACGAGATGCGAGGGAGGCGAAGGAGCAGGCCGAGCGCGAGGCGGCCGAGCAGGCTGAACGCGAGGCGAATGAGCAGGCTGAACGCGAGGCGGCTGAACAGGCCGAACGAGATGCGAGGGAGGCGAATGAGCAGGCCGAACGCGAGGCGGCTGAGCAGGCCGAACGAGATGCGAGGGAGGCGGCTGCGGCTGCCAAGGCCGAGCGCGAGGCGAATGAGCAGGCTGCACGGGAGGCGAAGAAGGCGGCTGAGCAGGCTGTACGGGAGGCGAAGAAGGCGGCTGAGCAGGCCGTACGGGAGGCGAAGAAGGCGGCTGAGCTGACTGTACAGGAGGCGATGAAGGCGGCTGAGCAGGCTGAACGAAAGGCGAAGAGGGCCGCTGAGCAAGCTGCGACGGCCAAGGCCGAACGCGAGGCGAATGAGCAGGCTACACGAGAGGCGAAGAAGGCGGCTAAGCAGGCTGAACGAGAGGCGAAGAGGGCGGCTGAGCAGGCTGCGACAGCCAAGGCCGAACGCGAGGCGAATGAGCAGGCTGCACGGGAGGCGAAGAAGGCGGCTGAGCAGGCCGTACGGGAGGCGAAGAAGGCGGCTGAGCAGGCTGTACAGGAGGCGATGAAGGCGGCTGAGCAGGCTGAACAAGATGCGAAGGAGGCGGCTGCGACGGCGAAGGCCGAACGTGAGGAGGCTGAGCAGGCAGAACGAGACGCGCGGGAGGCCGCTGAGCAGGTCGCACGAGATGCGAGGGAGGCGGCTGCAGCGGCCAAGGCCAAACGAGAGGCGGAGGAGCAGGCTGATCGTGACATGAGAGCCAGGCTCGATGCCGACGATGAGCGGATCGACCGCCTAGTGCAGAAGGCTCTGGCGCAGGCGAAAGCCGAGATCGCACAGGAGCGGCGGCGCATGGAGGCGGAACTGGCGAACGAAAGGACACAGCTACAAGGCCTTCGGGACGCGGCACAACTTGAGCAAGAGCTCGCAGAGAATGCCAAACGCGAAGCTCAGCGCAACTTGGACCAATTAACGACTGAACGCAATCGCTCCAATACGGATCAGGTACGACCTTCAGTTCTCTATGCCGTCTACGATATTAAATCGTTGTCATTTTAGCGCATTCCTGATGCAACACCCGTCTCGTCGTCGACAGAAGCTCCAGTACCACCTCCGGCACCGGCGCCGGAGCCGTCTGCACAGTCTCCAGCACCGCCAGCACCGTCTTCGGCTACCCAGCAGCGACCATCGCCCAATCCTCCTTTGGGCCAGTATTCTCGCTCGCGGACTCGTGCTCGACAGTCACAGACCCAGCAACAGCCGACGCTGGTCATCGAGCGTCTGATGGCTCCTAAGGAATTCCATCGCCTTCTGATGATGGACGCCAGTTTGCTCACCCCGGACGTATCCGTCATCTCTCACGGTTCGACGTTAACGTTGTCTGGGTCGCAAGAGGATGTTCGACGGGCGCTTCTTACAACACAAGCTCTGGTCGACAACTTCCCCAATTTCCTCCCCATCACAATCAAAGGATGCGAAGCCACCCTTACACCTGAATCCATCCGCACCATCTATGCAAAGACCAACTGTCTTGTGTCTGTCATCGAAGGCTCGGTCGACATCTGTGTGCAAGGACAACCCAAGGATTTCAGCAAAGCTCTCGAGATGGTGCGCGAACTAGGCTCTACAGTGGTGAGTGAAACGCTGCGTAGCGTATCAGTGTATCTCTAGTAACTGGCTCACGATTGAATAGTCCAGTGAGCAACCAGTACCAAGACCGTCGCCGTCATCACATGCGCATCGCACGCCGCCAGTACCCCCCGCTCTTTCAACAGCCGACACTCCCCCACAACCTGTTCCCACCAGCCCTCGGCCTATCTCCACACCGACTGGGCAAACAAGGTCGCGCCCATCGCTAAACCCGGGCGAACTCTTCGGAGACTTATTCCCCGCCGAGGAGGAACTGATCCCTGATCCGGCACCTGCAGTCGATACAACCGTGGAGGAAGACCAGGAGATGCGCGATGCTACTGAGGGAGATGAGCTTCCAGGATCAAACAGTAAGTTACATCGGCGTATCGATGAGACACTACTGGATATCATCATTTCTAGCCTCGAATTCTTCTCAACCCGCCGATGGTGACCCTGCGACTTCTAACCGGACTCCGGAGTCGGCTGCGCCGGCGCAGGAGACTCGATTACCTCGAACGGGCACGCAGGATTTCGTACGTAGGAGTCGCAATGAGTCGGTCTCTTCATACACTGACTACGCCCCATCGCTCAGGTAACGAGAGAAGAGTTCCAAGCGTTCCAAGCGCGCGTTGACCCCGATCGCCGCGCTGGCGAAGAAGCTCTCCGGAAAGCCACTCTCAAAGCGCAACGTATTGCGCTTCCGAAGTCTCGACGTAAACCTCGAGGCTCTGCGGCGAATCAGCTTCGCGTATGTTGGCGTGGATGGGTCCAGACGTTTTCAGCTGACACAGTCCCTCATATAGGCTGTTTTACGCGCGGTAGTAGCAACTCTGCTGGAACGTACAGACAAGCAGGCACCATTTCCGGCGCATAAGGTACCGACCCCGGGTCAAATAAGTGCGTACGCCAAGCACGGGATCGGCGGACCTACGATGGACAATTGGAGAGTGGACCCCACCACGCCGTTCAGTTCAAAGTGGAATCAGGAGGCTGGTCTTGTTCTGATGAAGCTCCTGCTCGAGAACGGACACATCACTCAACAGGAGCGCTCGGAAGCTTGGAAATGGTTTGCTAATCATCACGACGGTACTCTCAGAGAGCACTATATCGCGTACAATCTCGGCAATGAGCGACGGCTCGCGGTCAACAGGTATAGGTCCGCGCAGACTCAACGCCGAGAGACTGTGAGTATTTCGCGCCGCGGATCACGACAAATATGGCTGACTACCTCGATTGTAGTTGGGCCGGACTCGTATCACTGTATGTCTGGCTCACGCGGACCTCGCCGAAGTGGGAGCAGCCCTTTCCGAAGCCGGCCCGAGGTCCAATGTCCACAGTGACGATGAAGAGGATCATCAATCCACCACCGCTCGTTATCGAGCCAAGGACAAGTATTGGCGGTCCAAGAAGGCACGCAGATATTTCCGCTCGTGCGACTTGCTCCATTTTAAGGACAAGTACGATGAGAGCGGCCTCCACCGTACGGCGCCAGGTAATTGGTTCCGAGAGCGCGTACCCGGAGCTATCCTGGACGTTGAGGTTGATGAGCCTGAACCTGGTCTTCCCGCCAACTTCTATGAGCCGGAATGGGTCGCGAAGCAAAAGCCTGAGCGTTTGGCAACGTTGGAGATGAAAGCCGACGTGCCACTAGACTTCCCACTGGATTTGCGCATGTGTGTGGCCCTATGTCCTTCATCGCCGCTTTCAACTCATAAACCTTCCAGACAGGCCGCCCGGGTCTTGGGTATCCTTCGTGTGGATGGACCCGTATCTGACTGGCGAACTCTTCGTATCAGCCAGGCAGAACTCGACATGCTGGATGTTTACCTCGACACAGGTCGCCTCCCGCCCGCAACCTATGGGGAGGCAAGAGCACGGTGAAGACGGTTGGACGGATATGTACGGGATACAGCAGCAGGCTAACGGTAGACTTGGTCTCAAACTTGTACGATACGTAGAGTATGTGTTCATATCCCGGCCTTGTGCTTTTGCTCTGACTGGCCCTCGATAAACCGATGCGCGACACGAGTAGTTCCCGCTCAATACATTGGCCGTCTATTCTTAGACAATTCAGCTCTCTGCGTGCGCCCGCACCACGGGCCGTTATTCCGTGGCTGCATTTGTCTCGACCTCAGCCGCAATATTCTCGCATTGTGCACTCCCGCTCATGTGGCCGCTCCGCTCCTCGCCCTTACATACACCCCAGTTCAACTGTGCTTGGTCTCGCCCGACCCGTGATCATATCAAAATGTTTTCGTTTTAGATTTGAATTTTATTTTCCAAAATGTTTATAATTTCCTAAGTCCGAGAGTGATAGGTAAAAAGTCTATGAAAATGAAGCCTTTTTGAAGTACACTTTTAGGTCCGAAAAAATGTTATGGGTGTGTTGGATTTTTCACGTCGTAGAACGATTCCTTTTTGAATTTAAAAAGGAATTAGAAAAGTTATTGTTCATATTCTCGACTTTTCAATGCACAAAAAGTTGTCGAAAATTTAACTTTTTTATTTCACTTTTCGACCCCTTTTCGGTCGACTAAAAGAAGCCCATGCGGGCGGTGCATGAAGAAGGAAGACATCTCATCGTTCGATCTCGTGTTTCTTCACGGCAACTCGGTGAGCAGACACTCGTTAGACTCCTCATCTCACAGCTAACCTGTTCACAGTTCATAGGGGTAAGCAGCGTGGTGGTAGTCAATCTTAGCAGACGATCTCACCTGCTCGATGTAGCCACCGGTCCTCCCTGCGAAGTCCACCAAGGAGCTTTCTTCGTCGCTCCAACATTTGTACATGGGTGTTGTATTCTCTCGTGACGCTGAGACGAGCTTCACCGCCAGCGGCGGGTGGATTGATGTCCGCGATATCGCTTTAGCGCACGTGCTAGCGGCGCAGAAGCCTGAAGCGGGCGGAGAGCGCATTCTCATATCTGCCGGTGACTTTGTTTGGCAAGATCTGCGTACGTCTTCCTTTGAGTCACTCATCGTGCGGGTGGCTCATCTGCGTTGCCTGCAGACGACCTCGCGCATACGATCGACCCGACGTTGCCAGCAGGCGACCCGAAGGCGGAGAAGAACTACTTCATGCGCTACAACAACGAGAAGATGAAGCGCATCCTCGGCTTGCAGCCGCGATCCCTCGAAGAGACGATGCGCGACTCGCTCGCTTACTACAAGACGGTGCCCGACAAGACCTTCAGTGCCGCTATGTAGTTCGCGCGGTGGACAAGAACCAAAGCTAGTTACACAAGACGTCTCGATCTCATGACCCAATAAACAAATGCCTAGCTGCGCGAGAGTCACGAAGACTGACATATTGCATCGCAAGTTTCAGGCGCATCATGTATGCTTGCTGATCTCATGCCTCTGCTTGACCCCGCCTCAAGAGTTGAAGCGGTCATGTGCATCGACTTACGCACGCTTATATCATCCACGAGTAAGAGCGAGCCTCTTCACGTGCAGATCGCTAGAAGTATGCTGCGTACAGTCTATTCCAGACCACTAGAGCTCTTCTTCGGCATTGACAAGCGTGCCGACGCCGGACTTGCAGATAACCTCCGCCTGAACATGGCTGCGCCTCCGGATATATGGGGTATGTCCACTCTGCTAGGTAGATGCCAAGCGCTTTCTGATTCATAGTGGACTCGAGTCACGGGCCATCTCGAGCTGTCCATTCGCGTACTTATACTCTGACACGAGCTGCACCTGGTAACACTCATCCACATCTACTATCCACCTCTCATGACTGCCGTTCAAGCTCCCGCTAAAGCACTCGTCACTGGGGCGAATGGCTATCTCGCTGCTTGGATAGTGCGCACTTTGCTGGAGCAAGGCTACCTCGTTCGCGGCACTGTACGCTCTATCACGAAGGGCGAGTTGCTGAAGCAAGCCTTAGCCGAGTTCGAGAGCAATTTTGAGTACGTTCTTGTCAAGGACGTTCTTCAGGTAACGGTTCCTCGTGCCAAGGGCGGCGAGAAGTAGTTGCCCAATCTCTATAGGATGGCGCGTTCGATGAAGCCGTGAAGGGAATGGACCTGGTCGTACATTCGTTGTCGCCTGTTGCCTTAAGTGCGTACCCTCTCGCTCCACTCATGTGTACAGCTCTCTAAAACGCCATTACAGGCATCATCCCTGACGGTGAGCGTTCCGCGTCCTCTTTGGTGTATGCATTGCTCACTTTCATCTAACCCGCGCACGGTAGCGGTGATCAAGCCCGCGGTCAAGGGCACACTAGGCATTCTTCAGTCGGCGAAGAAGTCGCAAGATACTGTCAAGCGTGTTGTCATCACAGGCTCTGCTGCTGCCATCTTCAAGTATCCACCCGAGCCCGCGCTCTATGATGAATCGATCGTCAACGAGCCGGCGGTTGAGGCAGTCAAAGCAGGTAGTGTAGACCCTGGTCACATCTACTGTGCGTCGAAGACTCTGGCTGAGAAAGGTACCATGTCTTTGCCTTCGATACAGCCTTCAAGTTGATTGACACAGCGCAATAGAGGGTTGGGCCTTCATGAAGACCGAAGGTATCCCCACGTTTGACCTCGTCTTTCTACACGGCAACTCGGTAAGACAGGACTTCAGTTTGATATCGTTGTGGCCTGTGTTGACTTGTCTGTAGTTCATTGGCGTACGTACAACACTCTACGATATTTCACGAGGCTGATTGGTGCTTTGCACGACCGTAGCCGCCCTTGCTCCCCGCGAGCTCTCTGCAGGACCTGTCCGTCTCGCTTCAACACTTGTACCTGTGCACCGTGTTTGCTCGCGACAAGGAGACGAGCTTTGCGGCCAGTGGTGGCTGGATAGACGTGCGAGACATTGCCCTTGCGCATGTACTTGCAGCACAGACACCCGGTGCTGGTGGAGAACGCATCATCATCTCCGCCGGCGACTTCGTACACCAGGATCTGCGTGAGTCCCCGCCTACCTCGCCTCATACCTCACGGGTAGCTCAGATCTCATATCCCACAGACGATGTTGCGCATGCTATTGATACCAATTTCCCAGCTGGTAAACCTGAGGCGGAGCGGGTATACGTTACTCGATACAACAACGACAAGATGAAGCGTGTTCTTGGGTTGCAGCCACGGTCGTTGGAGGAGACTGTTCGAGACTCACTGGAGTTCTACAAGACAGTCGCAGACAAGACTTTCAACGCTGCCATGTAATTACATATTTGAGTAGTAGAGTGGGTACGCTGGTGTAGATAGTACGACAAGATTGTGAGGAATCACACGGTGTTTCACTATCGCGATTGTCGAGCCTATCCGACTGATCGCTTTGCCCTTCATCCTTGCGGCGTTCGAATCGCGCGCATCCAGTGATTGTTGATGCCGCAGAATGAGATGGTGACTGCTGGGTGTTGGATGACATTGAGGTAGATGGAGGCGTGGGGAGGAGGAAGTCGCCAACTCAAGCGTAAACGGCGACTAGCACTCTTGTGGCTCAGAGCCTGAGCTTCCCGGTGCCTACGCCTGTTGTCGAGTGTTCTCTCCACTGTATCTGTCGATTCCGCCACCTATACGCGACCGTCTTCTAAACCCAAACCCTGCCCCATTTCCTCACGCGTCCGATTTCTCCAGGTCATTTCGTAATGAATTAGCGCCAAGGACGAGCGTCAAGAACTTGCTACACAGTCAGGCGTGCGACAAAGAGTGAGGTAGTGGAGGTTGGGGCCAGAGGTCGGAACGAGATTGATGAGAGTCGGATGCGGATCGGAGGCGCGGATCACAGCCTGCTCGGAAGCGTCTTGTTCCGAACCCCCATCCCGACCTCACGCATCGCTTACGATCTACGTCCTGTATCTCAATTCATTACCTATCTATAGTCGATTATCCTGCCAACATGCTACTGTGTGACATGGAGATCGCAAATTACACCGCCACCCTTCACGGGCGGTTTCCGACACGAAATTGGATATTGTTCAAATTAGAACTTTCGTTCTGAACAACAGCGAAAGCTACTTATCACGGCGGGGGGGTATGGCTCACCTTCTTGCCATGATACCCAAACGAACTGCATTCGAGCGCGCCTCAGAACCCGTTGACTGGAAGCCCAGCTTCCTTCGTCTGATGGTGGCACCCGTCGCCTGACCCATCTCGTGTCCTTGAACACCTCGCCGCTTCATTCTCAGAAGTTGAACAACCTACACCAGTCATCTGATACCTACACGCACGCACACAATGGAATAAGATCCGCTCGGTGATGGTTGGACTGTAAGAAAAGCTGGAGCATGCCCTTTCTGAATCAGATCTGACCATTCTCAGCGCCTTTCGCCTTCAAGACGTCTACAAAGACCAGCGCGTAGCGGCCTATATACGACTGCGGCACCTGGACGCATTCTCAGGCTACTCGGCATTTGCCAATCAACATGCTATGTTTCACCGGCGTTCGCTCCTACGTCCTGGGTCTTACACTGGCTGCTAGTGCACGCGCAGCTACGTACTGCGTCACCGACACCTTCCAGGGTACCGACTTCTTCAATGACTTCGACTACGAGGCAATTCCAGACCCTTCTCACGGGCTAGTGTACGTTCTGCGTCACTTCCCTGAGCCTTAATCCACCTATTGACGCATACTTGCCAGGGATTACGTTGGTCTCGCCGACGCTCAGAGCTTAGGCCTCGCGACTGTATCTGGAGACAACTTCTTCTTGCGCGCAGACCACACGGCTGTCCTAACAAACGGTGAAGGCCGCAAATCTGTGCGCATACAAAGCAAGAAGCAGTGGGACGACCACGTTTCCGTGTGCGTCTCCAACCCGCCTAGCGGCCTCCCGACGTCCGACCTCGAACTGACATACTTCGGCACCAGCTACGATGTACTCCATATGCCGCAAGGATGCGGTACATGGCTCGCGATTCGAGAGAACGGCGAAGACCTACCTATAGGCGTACGGCGCTCCTCAACCTCTCATCCCCTGATACTGACCACGACCTCGGATGTGATAGGGCCAAGTGGACATAATCGAAGGGATCAACGACGTCGCGCCCGACGCAACAACTCTGCATACCAGCGCCAACTGCACAATGCCTCCCTCTCGCGCCATGACGGGCAACATCACAGGACTCGACTGCGATACCGCGGTGGACGGAAACGCCGGGTGCGGCGCGCTCATCACGGAACCGAACTCGTATGGACCGGCGTTCAACGCGAATGGCGGGGGTTGGTACGCGATGGAGCGAACAGACACTTTCGTCAAGGTCTGGTTCTGGCAAAGAACCGACACGTCTGTACCCGCGGATGTGAAGCACGGCGCAGGAAGTATCGACACAGGCAAATGGGGCACTCCGGACGCGTACTTCCCGAACACATCGTGCGACATTGGTGCCAAGTTTGGGCCTGCAAACATCATCATCAACTTGACCTTCTGCGGCGATTGGGCGGGCGCTGAGTACAACGCGAGCGGTTGTCCCAGTACTTGCACTGGTACGTTGAGGTGACTGTATCCCTGCGACCATTAGCTAACGGGACTGTCCAGACTACGTGAGCAACAACCCGAGCGCTTTCGCGAAAGCGTTCTTCGAAATTGGGTCCGTTCATGTATACCAGTAGTCACTACGGAGTGCAGGCAGCATGTGTCAGTTACGGTCATGATGTTTCATCATCGATAAATTTGGGTATCATAATGTTATACTGGGATTCGCGGGTTCCCCGTTCGAAACCCGAGTTACTCGGCTGCATCTTCAGCGGCCTTGCGGGCAAGCTGTCTCCGTTTGATTATCTTCAGCTCTGCGACCCTCTTCTCCCAAGCCTCACATAAGGATCCCAGCTTGCCCTTCACCAAAGCTGCATGACATGAGTACTTATTTCGTCAGTCTCGTGTTGTGGAAAGCCTGCTCACCTTGATGTTCCCGCCTCAGCTCGCTATTCGGCATCCACTCAGCATAGTACTGGGCGATGGCGTCATGCGCATCGATCAGCGCATCGGTGGGGGTATAGTGGGCTGGTGCCTCAAAGGCGATGTCTTCAGCTCTGTCAAGGTATGTTAGGTCGAAATACAGGCCGTAGCATTCGAAGGCCGCTGCGCAGAAGCAATTGTATCAGCTGAACGACTTGATAGTATGCGCTATACCACGCACATGGTCTCCATGCACGCAACTTCTTCGCGAGCTCGTACATCTCTTTGCAGGGGAAGTCGTCGTATTCGGGCGCTGCGTCTTTGCCGAACTCATGGATGCTCTCACGGTTGATCTTACACACGTGATTTTGTCTTGCGCGACTGAAGTCGATGAGAATGGGCCACCCGTCCTTCTGCATGACGTTGCAAGGTTCGAGCTGGCCGTGTACAACGTGCTTGTCCTTATGAAGCTCGTTGACGGCGTTGAAGAGGCGTATCCTACAACGGCCATCAGCATTCATAACCTCGAAGAATTCAAAGAGAATCAAACGCACCGAAAGACTTCATCCATGCTGAAAAACAACCCCACATGTTCTCCATAGTCCTTAAGGATCAAGCAACCAAAAGCAGACTCCTCGTCCTCCGGATCGCGATTGAGCACCTCGAACATGCCATAACAAGTGGGCACGACTCTATCAGCCATATCACGCAACGGCCCGGCGTACAGTTTCCCCTCGCGTATGAGAGCGTTGTACGATTTCGAGTCCGACGCAAGTTTGACGACGACCTTGACACTGTCTTCAGGCTCCGAGTCGGATGTCGACCTCAACTCGCCGCGGTACACGGTGACGTAGTTGTCGGTCATACCGATCGTGATCCGGTCATGGGCAACGAGTTCGCTTGCATAGAAGGGCAAGGCAACGGCAGAGGTAGCGTATGTGAGATCGAGCTGGAGTCCGCGATGGAGAAGAACTTCCTCTTCGCCGATGTCGTCCGAGCTGCGGACGTCGGCGATCAAGGATACTGGCATGCTGCTCGGGATGCAGAGAGGCGTAGGGCGCAGACAACCGCGATGAGGGGCGGAGAAGAGAGCGGACGCAACGAGGAGAGGGCGTGCCATACCACGACGATGCCATTAGGCGCAGTGCGCTACTCGGTTTTACGTAGTTGTCTTGCTCGTCGACCCACCAATGAGGCGTTCCACATGAATTCGTCACATATATAAATACACAACAATGAGATCAGGTTCCGGGTCTAGGGCGATGTATAAACGTTAAGAAAGTTATCGTCCTCGCGAGTCGTTTGTATTCACCGACTCTGGTGTCCATGTAGGTGGACTGCTCGTTCCGCAGCCTACGCATCAAAGGGGTTCCGAGCGACCTCGTCCTCATACGCCTGACAATACCGCTCCAAATTAAGATCAAGATCATCTATCGCCGTATAAGCATGCTTACAAGTCACAGATACAAGTGACATACCTTCGTACGCGGCACCGCGAGCGGGAAGATGCTGCTTATAATACCCGCAGATCGCTCGGTGCACCGCAGTCAAAGCCTCACGGGGCGACTGCCGAGGAGCCAGAGCGGGGAGCGTAGACTCGATGTCGAGCATCTTGTTGGCTAAAGCCTCAGGGTTCTCCAAGAAATAGCGCGCGCTCCAAGGACGACCTTTGCATATGAACATGGCTATCATCGATGACACAAAGGACAGTCAATCAGTGACGGAGGAAACTAGACTGGGCAGCGACGAACCCGGCAACCACGCCTGCGTTTTCTCCATCAAATTGTAGATCTCGTTGCATCCGAATTGCTCGCGTGCGGGCTGCACGAGCTTGCCGTACTCGGCGTCGGTCGGGCGGTCTGCATTGCGCGGGCACTGGTGGTCCATGGCGCGCGCGAAATCGACAAGATACGGCGTGCCGTCCCTGTGCAGAACGTGGTACGGCGACAGCTGTCTGTGCATCAGACCGCGAGCGTGGATCTCGTGGACAAGCGTCAGAAGGCGGATACTGCGCGCGTGAATGAGCTGTGCTGTATTCCAAAAATTGACATGAGACGTACCGGAACGAGACGTCTTCGGCGTTGTCAGAGTGCACGAAAGACCCGACGGGATCTCCACAATCCTCTAGCATGAGAAAGCCGACGCAAAGCTCTTCGGGCGCGTTCACGGGTGAGGCGACATGGTACACGCCATACGAGCGAGGGATGCAGTCTCCGCCACTCGACAGGTCTCGCAGTTTGTCGTGGTAGACCTTGGCTTCCTCGATGACTCTACCGAGCGCGGCAGTGGTGAGGGCCACCTTGACGACCACGTTGAGTGGGCCCTTTTCCGGGGACTCGACACTACGGAGTGCGCCACGGACCACGACAATACCATTCTCTCTCCCACGGCCCCCAGTTAAAAACTCTTCAGCCTCCAGCTTGCATTTCTTGGAAGGAAGTGGCGCGACGGCTGTGCCGGCTACGGGTTGAAGAGCTAAGCCATCGTGGATGTAGACGTCGGAATCGTCTTCGAAGTCGTCGTAGTGCTTGACATCGGCTATGAGGGACATGCTGTAGCGACGGCCTGTAGTGTCTGTTGAAGAAGAGGGGTGCCAGTGCGAGCTGGTACGTTGCCGAATGTAGTAAATGGTGGTCGCTATCTGGCGAAAGCAATGATAAGGGTTGGTCGAGGAGAAGAAGCAAGCATGGTTGAGTGCACCATGGTGGCTCGGAACGAGGCCCTCACCGCTGGCGCTGGCGTGGGAGTAGAGCACGGACCGCTCTTACGTAGTAGTGCTCGACGACGACGCGTAGGACAAATCGGTCAGAAGCGCGCAGATTTGACTGAGGTTGTCGACGGCTGAGACTGGAGGGATGAATGATCCAACGGACGGCGCGCAGGCGCGTCGCTTGCCATTCCCCAGGGCAGCGCCAGGACCGTCTTGCGTGATTCTTGACTATTTGCGGGGTCAAAAGGGATGTAGTGTTCGTCTCAAAGATGGCATCTTGTGCTCCAAAGGCGTACAGTCGAATTACGGAGTGACCTCCCCTCCCCTCCCTCCTTTCATTCCGCGCTAACCATTCGTGATCAGGGCTGTCTGCTTCGGAAGCCCAAACAGAGACCAGCGAGAGCTAGGTCTGCGCAGAACATCAGTATAAAAAGCAAGAGTCTGGACGGAAGTGGGCGTGCCTTGGCCCTAGAGGCGCGCCTGAGTGCAGGAGCCCGGCTGCGGCATGCGACGTCTAATAGAGGCGATGTCTAGAGTGGAGCGTGGGCTAAGAAATGCACGCGGAGTTGGTCAGGTCATCCTTGAGCACGGAAAGGTATAAGAACGCACGTATAGGCGCATCCTCCTTGTGATTTATTACCGCAGCCTTCCTTTCCAATGCCAATATCAACGGCCTTCTCTACCAACGCGGCGGTGAATCTTCCCATGTCGGGCAGTCTTCATCGAATATGTCAAGGTCGAGGTCGTGGTACTACTCGTCTAGCGCAACGCTTATGTTCATCGCGCGATAATAAATTGTGTACACGAAAGAGCGAGTAGTGAAGCCGGTCGATCATGCTGGTCGGGACGAAGAAGCGATCCTCATGACGTTGCGCGTTCAACGTTGATGTCCCATCGCGACGCTTGTCCTCCTACCCTCATGAGCAGAGATGGTCTCCATTACCCATAGCTAGAGCCTTTACTATTCTATTCTCCTTATATTCTGTTGTACTCATATCCATACCGACTCTCACCGTGAATCAAGTCTCAATCGTCGACGACCGACTCGGAGACTGCCGGCCTACAACATTCTCCTCACCATGTCAATACCCTCATCCTTAACCGTCGACGCCTGTGCTGAGAGGAAGAAGTCGTCATCCACCACAACCTCCAGCTCCGCCCGATAGACGGCACATCCCGCGGTGGAGCGAACAGCGCGCACACATGCGCGGGTAAGTACCGGGGTCAGTGCGCACGGCCTGCGAAGCGTCTCCGCGTAGCCGACTACAATCTAAAGCAGAGTTGCATGGCTTCCCGTGACACATATCCAATGCAAGCGCATAGTCAACCAATCTCAATGAACCATTCTAGACGCCGAAATGTACAAACGGAACCCATCGCTCGAAGTTGTTCTCGCCGACCTTATCCTTCAGCACCATCGTCGCATGATGCAGTGCACGCGCCGCGCCGGTATGTCCCAACGGTAGATCCCCAGACGCGCGTAGCTCCAGCAACTTCTTGTAGAACGCCTCGACGATGATCGGGGCGTCCATATCTTGAATCGACCACATAGTTGCCACTACCCCCTTGAACCCGACCGCCAACATCCCTGCCGCCAGATGCGCCGACTCCTCCGGTATCTCCTCATCGCCCACGGCCGTTTCGCACGCCGAAAGAAATGCCAGCTCCGCATTCTCGACGGAAACGTTGTGTATCAGCGTCCCCAGAGTGAGAGACTTATTGTGCAGCTCGATCGCGGTCAGAGTCGGGTCTTCCGTGTTCTGAGAGCCGTGGCACGCGAAATGCACCCAACTGTGCTGCTTGATTGCGGCGAGCGTATGCTCTACCGATGCCTGCTCGTCCTCGAGGAACTTGTGGCCTTCCCCAGGCATGATCGCGCGCAAACGGGCAGTTTCATCGCGTACACATGGCAGAGGCGCCGACCCGAGACGAGGGGTATAGGATTGCGCGACGACCAATATGCTGGGAAGAGCCGCGGGCATGTCCTTGCCCAGGCACCTGAGTAGCGCTGAGAGGGATGGAGTGTACGACGACATGACGAAGTTGAAGACTCGGAGACGTGGCTGCTTCTGGTCATAATTCCCTGCCGCGTGCAATGGTAGCTGAGTGAGGGGACCCGTGGGGCACCAGACGATGTGTGATGACGGTACTCCCGTAGGTTTCGTGATCTACGTCCGCGTTCATCAGTCTCTCTGTCGCGATGACAGACAATAGCACTCACAAGATCTAATGCAGATAAAATTGGAAGTACGACCAATGACCACAGCCGACTTAATATGCGAACGTAGATGTTCGAGTAGGTGCGAATGTTCCGCGCGTCCGCCCGAGACGTCTCTCCGCGTCTGTGACCTCTGCGAAGGCCAACATGCTCCGTCCATAACGACCGTAACTTCTCTGCGCGCTTCTGTGAGAGAGCTGGAAGCTGAACCAGTTTCACAGAGCCATTCTTGGAAAGGACGAGAGCATCGCAGGATGTTTTGGCAACATTGATGAAGACAACGGCGGTTGCACTCAAGCGGCGGAATGCAGGTGCCGCAACGAGGTCTGCCAGCTTACTGGGCCGCATGAAGTCCTGGAACCCATCTAAAGAGCGGATCTTCTTTAAAAGTGCATCATAGGCGATAGCCGCTCGCTGATAGTGGTCCGAAGCCGTTTCGATAGGGAGGACATAGTGACTGGGAGTCGTGGGGTCACTGTGTGCGGGACGCCGAACGACGGCGGTTGGCGCGTGCATACCGATCTGAGCAGCTGTGCCAAGTTGCTGTAGTCTCTGTCGAGCTTCGCGCAGCTCCTTTGCAGTGTCAGGGTGGCATTTCTCGAGATCGTCCATGGGGCTCTGTAAGGATGAGATCTGTGACCAGATGAGGCTCCTGCCTGCTTCCAGCCATCCCACGGCCATGTCGAGTTGCCTGTTCTCGATAGCGACAGACACGGCCGAATTGACAAGCTCCCCAACGTCAGCAGAGTCTTCGAACCGACGTTGGACACTGTGCCCGAGCCAGACAAGTTCAGGGAGGGCGTCGACGACGCGCGAATGCGCGGAAAGCAACGCGACAAGGGTACAGAAGTGAGGGTTCTCCGCCAAAAGGTGCAGGTGCTCTTCAGCACAATTGAAACGCTCCTGAGGACTTGCCACAGGCTGATCCAGTGCAGTTTGATAGAATGAAATGGCTTCGTCGAAGTCTTCTTGCGTGCGATGTTGTATGACGCGAGAGGCACAACAACGAGCTAAGTGTTGGATGTGTACTATCTTATCTGGATGGCCGTCGGGGGTCAGTTCAACGGCACTTCTACTCGCCTTCAGTGCACTATTAAGGTCGTTGCCGTCACGAGAGTACTCATATCGAGAGCCAAAGGAGACCGCGAGGTTGCTCAGCCGCCGCGGGAGCTCAGGATCGTCCGTCGGCGTGAGCTCGACCGCACGTCTGTCTGTTTCGAGTGCGCTCTCCAGATCCCTAGAGTCTCCGAAGCGATTGAATCGAGAGTGGAAGGAGATCGCGAGGTTGCTCAGCCGCAGCGGGAGGTCAGGATCGTCCGCCGGCGTGAGCTCGACCGCGCGTCTGTCTGCATCGAGTGCGCTCTCCAGATCCCTGGGGTCTCCAAAGCGACCGAATCGAGAGCGGAAGGAGACCGCAAGAATGCTCAGCCGCCGCGGGAGCTCAGGATCGTCTGTCGGCGTGAGCTCGACCGCGCGTCGATTTGTTTCGAGTGCACTCTCAAGATCACTAGATTCTCCAAAGCGATTGAACCGGGAGCGGAAGGAGACGGCGAGGTTGCTCAGCCGCCGGGGGAGCTCAGGATCATCCGTCG